AAGTGTAGCCCTGTGATAGACTGGTGACCTGTCCAGGGTGTCCCCTGCCTTTGCCCTAAGTCGGCTGGGATAGGCTCCAGCCCCCCCGTGACCCTAATGAGGATTAAGCGGTGTATAGATAATGGATGGATGCCCATCATCATCATTTAGTGTTGACACCTCACAGCCTGGTAAATATATCAGCAACAGGTGTCAGTGGAGAGACAAGCAAATTTCAGCACTTTCAGCACAATCAAGACACACTTGAAGGACCTTAATCCCTGACATGCATATTAGCACAGCTATGTTATCCTGGTTTATGATTTGCAGTAATATTGTTATTGTTGTTATTCTTGTACACATGTGACTCAAATCTCAGCTCAATGTGCAGTATTGCAAGTATGTTCAAACATACTTGTCATGTACAAACATGAATGTGAACACAACATCAGCAGAAAAAAATGGATCTGACAAAAAAAAATGCAAGTGAGCATTAAAGCTCACACTGTGCACATAACCTAAGAGACAGATTTTAATGTCGTGTCAGTGTAAGTGGTGGAAGACAAAATCCACAATCTGTGTTTTTTTGCAAAAACATTTTCAAAAATGTATTTGAAGGCAATATAGACACTCAGTCAGACAAAATGTAAAAATCCCTCTACGTTACTATCCCTCTCCATCGAAAAACGAAGGAGTTTACACTAAAAACGCTTCATGTTTAGAAGATCCCTGCTTGCAACACATTCATGGGTCCATCCAAAGTTTTAAAACGTCTTAAATTTAATTTTTTTTGTTCAAGCCTATAATATGCCACATATATCTAATAATAGAAAGTGTAAAAACTTGAGACCTATGAGACACCAATTTATTTAAAACTAATTAAATATATAAAGCAAAGTTAGTTTAATGTAATGCATAACAAGTGAAACAGTTCATTGCATTACTTAAACATTTTGACAATAATGTTTTGACATATTTAAATGTCACTCTGTGCATTCATTCTGCTGCATGTTTTTGTCAGAGCTTTCATCAACAATTAATACCTGGAAACAAAGTACATTTGCAGTTATAAAGGAAATTCTGGTGTTGAACTGTAGAACAACATGAACTTACTTTGTTAAAGTAAGCACATTTTTCAGATTAATTGAATTTATCAAAAAATAGTTAAACTATAACAATGAATATTATATAACAATAACTGGAAAAGTATTGAATATAACTGGCAAATATGTGGTTGGTCTCCAGTGCAGACTGCCCGACTGTGGAAGCCTCATATTAATTCAGCTAAAGCCTGGAGTGTGTTTGTGTGCAGAATGAGGACTGTGGATTTGGTTCCCTATCTTTAAACTTTCATTTCTCTGAAAGGGTATCTTTTAAATATCCAGTATGAACAGAAGAAATGATGAAAGGAAACAAAACGTGTTTCCATGTCCACAGGGACAATTTCTTATAGTCAAAGGACAGACTTGAAGAGACTGTGAATGTGTT